TCAGCACCCTGCCGCCTAGCCTCCGCAATGCTCCAAGACGTCGATTTTCCGTGTCCCACGATCGCCGTCTGGTGGCTGCGACTGGCTGCAGAGAGCTCGCCCCGTCTTCGCTGTCGTTTTCGCCGTCAGATGGTGGCCGGCCTCATACTCGTCGGGATTCGATAAACTGGGGTCGGCAAAACGGTGTTCGCTAAAACGAGATTCTCTAAACTGAATGCCTCCGATCGGGAGTCTCGTAGAATTTACCGGGTCTTTCTCACCGGTGTGCGCGCGCCGGGTTTAACGAACGCCGTTTTACCGACCCCAGTTTATCGAATCGCCTCAAAGAAAATCTCGGTTTAGAGAAAAGGGTGATGAGCCTCCTTTTAACGAATTCGGCCGCCGTGAAGCGGCGTGTACGGGTGGACCAGGTGGGCTAACATTTTTGTAATGAGCCGCCGCAGACTGTCGCCGCCAAGCTTCGTAAACGTTAACAGGCGGTCTAGTGATACTCGCGATTTGATGCTGCGTTGTTTTTTGTGCGGCGGCTCGGTACGTTATCCTGTCGGCACGTTGCGGCGGCTTTCTGCCAGGCGTGTGGGCGCGATGACTGAGCGTTGGAGGCGATATGCCCCCCCCCCCCCCCCCCCCCCCATGTGGAGTTCCTATATATTTCTATACCTACGGTAGCAGAGTTGCGCATTCAGCCTTGGCGGGGGGCCGTAGCGTCGGCTTTCCTGTACGCGCTGGATGCTTTGCTCATCACGTGACTAAATTTGGCGAATAGCTGCGCCGCCGCGCATGGAAACCCCGGCCATCCGGTATTCGATACAACTAAATTAATCCCCCTTGCGCTTTTTCCGACATGGCCCACCCCCTCCCCTTCTATAAAACTATTCCTATCTCCTCCCTTTACCCCCAACTTTTCTCACCACACCCCTTCCCCCTGAGAGCCAGTGACCAATGCGCCCGCTGCGCATTCACTATTAGCCCTCCCCTCTTCCCCCCCCCCCCCTTCCCCATCTTCATTCAACAACGCTTAGTAGTAGTAGTAGAAAGAGGAGAAGGAGGCGAAAACAGCGGAACATACGCCGGGGCGCGTGCAACGTCGGCGGAGCGACCGTAAAGGTGGCTTTCTTGCACGGCGCTGGATGCTTTTCTCCTCACGTGATCGATCTTGGCGAATAGCGGCGTGGCGGCGCGGGGAAGGCAAATGCGCAACTCTGCCCCCCTTCGGGGGAGCATATCGAGGAACTCTAGCACCGCCAGGTGGCCTCTGGTTGGTTTCGGTCTCGACGGGCTCGCGGCTGTGTTGATGCGTTATGTCGTTTTCGCTTAGTTATGCGATATAAATATATCCCTTCTGGTGAAAGAAGAAACGATACAGTGGTAATGGGACAGCTTGGAAAGTGTGACGTAATTACGAGCCTAAATTGTGGACGTTTTCCGAACACCTTCATCTGATCATGATCTTCGTTCGGTCAGGTTCGGCGGCGAAACGACTGAAATAATGCCGGGGGAGGATTACGGATGTGATCTGCCGTACAGGAGGTACTCGCTAAAACCAGTTTACATAAAAATAAACTAATGAAAAGGCTAATGCATGGAGGCACAGTGAAAAACCAGGTAGACGACTTGACTAACAATGTGCTGGATCGCATAGAACCGATGAACTCGCAAGCTCATCTGTTCATCAGCATTCTATGAAGTGGTGCCAGGCACAACCTCATGGAATGCAAAAAGGAAGCGATAATGTCTCCATCGGTTTCTTTAAAGAAATTAAGTACTCGAGAGATGTTTCGATGGTCCACCCTAGGTCAAGTAGCAATTTTTTTTTTTTTTTTAGCTATCAGCGCCCCGCTAAAGTATTCATTAGCAGCATATCACAAGGTTGGTCTTAGGAAACTATTTTTTTACGGACATTTCCTTACAACGTCTTGAGAATACGAGATAAGGGAAAAACCCGTCATTTGTAGTCTGGCGTTTGTCTTCTGTATAATTTGCGAAATAAAATTAAAGGCGCAAGCACTTTGACCTCTAGCAAGCAGCTTGGCTTGCTCAAGTCAAGTGCCAGGCACCGCCTCATGGATTTTGGTAGACAGATATTTATTTGTTTGAACAGATACGCTTTTTACTTTGAGCGGTTTCGAAAGTGAATCCGGGGCATCGACAACGCTTCACTCGAGTGATTTCCACCCAGACGGCATTTTTTCGGCGTCACATATTGCGTGCCTCAGGCGCTTTTGTCAGGCGCTCACAAGATGCCTTTGACACGTTTTTCACCCGGTGGGCCACTGTTTATGTCTGAACGACTGAAGTGAATTGGATATCTTAAGAAAATTGAATGACTGCAGACGTGAGACCGATCACACTATATAGTTCCCTAAATTCATAAATAAACAGATATCAAAAGAAAGTTTATACCGCGAAAATTATTCCCCCATATAATGACACAGCTGTTTTGGATTCGTTAGGTTGGCAGAGCACGATGGTTTAAAAGAACACAGTGACTGCTTCCGTTGAATTTGCCTTCTTTAAGATCATAACTGCGTTATCACAAATGTACCTTGCGCTTCTTATTGGGCCAAAATCAATAATGGCATGCAGTTAGGTAGTAAAAATAAGTACCATGCACCTCACAAAGTAAGGCGAAAAATCGCAAAAACACGACAAAAAAAAAAAAAAAAACACGAATACAACGCCGTCGCCAGGGCGCGGAGGGGAGAGGAAGCGACAAGTTAAAGCCACCTTATGGCGGCCGCGTTACGTGATTCCAAGATGGCAGTGCCCATGCAACGGAGGGTAAAAATCTACACACAAATTCGGTTTCCCCGTAAGATTTAGTGGGAACATTGACGTCACCTTACCTCACATGGTAAGGTGACGTCACATGACTTCGTGTCACGTCACCTACACACAAATCTAGTCCCCCCCCGCTGATTTAGCGGTAAAATCTACGTCACGTGGTCTCAACACTAAATTAGGTTCCTTGGTAAATTTAGCGAGAAAATCACGTCATATGACTTCGTGCCACGTGACCTATAAACGAATTCAATTTCCCCGCTAGAGTTAGCGATAAAATTGACTTCGCATGGCCTTCACCAATTTAGGTTCCTTGGTATATTTAGCGGTAAAAATGACGTCACATGACCGTGCCACGTGACCTTTACGCAAATTTAGTTTCCTTTCTAGATTTAGCGGGAAAATTGACGTCACGCGACCCTGCCACCAATTCACTTTTCACGCTAAATTTAGCAGAGAAAACGATGTCATGATTTTATGTTACGTGATCTATACACAAACTCAATTTCCCCACTAAATTTAGCACAAACATTTACGCGAAAATGGACGCCGAAATTCCTCTCGAACTGCGGTCTAATTTCGCATTACAGTTGAAGTTTAAACGTCTATGTTCTATGTTTTCAATTTTTTATCTGGGACATGGAGCGAAAAGCCGGTCTCAATAACATAGCTACTAGACCCTGTCCAAAGTCAATGTCTAAGCAGCGTCGTTTTTCCTCACCCTTACTATTCGCTGTGGAACTGAGCCATCGGCTCAGTTCAGCTCAGTGCTATAAAGTTTTATCTATATCGTGAGCCTGCGGGTAATTGACACAGCCACTGGATTGAGTTCTGAGTAGCAACCGTAACCAATATGAGACCTCATTGATCAGGGATTAGTTTATTGTTTTTGCATGTTCACATCGCTACCTTTACACCGAGCTCTTTCATATCAAAGTGCACATGAGCCCCACTTCATCACAAGCAGTGAACGGCTGGTATTTCGTGATGTAAAATGATAAAATATAACAACGATGGGAACTTTGGTGGTTTCTGTGACGCACCCTAACCCATAGCGACTAACCCAAAGCGACTTCAATTTCTTACTGCTTGGGTGTTTCGACAGACAAGACTAACGATAAAGCGCTTAGCCTCGGAGAATCAAGGTATTTCAAATGACCACTCCTTCGACAACGGTTGCTTTTGACATGGTTATAAGAGAACGGGTCAACTTTTGTGAGTTAGCAATTGCAGACATTCTGCGGAAAAATGGCATCCTACGGGTGCTTGTTCCTCCCGTACCCCCCCCCCCCCCCCTCTTCTGCTTTCAGTGGGGCAGCCAAGTATGCGGCACAGATGATAAAGCAGAAGTCGAAGGTAACTTTCCATAATTTGGTGACTTTCCTTCGCAGATAGCCATGGAATGCTTTTGTCGTACAAAACGATGCCACATTAGGCGATGGGCTGTAGTCCTGCTGAACTTCATCGGTCTGTAAGCTAAAGTCTGTGCTGGGTTTGCTGTGGCCAGATTTTTTAACACCGGCGATTCTAAAGCAGCTTCATCACAACATGCAGAGCAACGTGTCCCAGCATTCTATTCGTATTGATAGGCAATACCTACAGTATTATAAATTTAAAGAAAGTCGCGTTCGAAAATGCATGCACTGTAGTTGGTTGTGACGGGATGTCGTGAATAAAGGTTGGCAAATCCAAACCTAAACCGGGACCCTTGGGTTCCCAAGGTGCTTTGCACGGCACTATGCCGCTAGGATCGCTTGGTTTTAACAAGCGGTCTATTGGCAGAGCCCTCGAAATTCCCAGGCTGCCTTGAGCATGAGGCAAGAGTATGTGCACTCTTTTACGAAGCACTCTGTTAGAGGTTAGAGCCCCTGTGGAGGTTTTCCCTGTACGATTTTATTGAATGCAGTCAGATAAAACAGTTAAAACTAACTCCAATAGAGCTACTGCACTATAGCCTGTCGCAGGTTAGGAAGGCCGAACAAGCTCCACCCGCAATGCCCTCCACTTCATTTTAACAAAGCGAACGCTGCAGAGAGGAGGCGAGAATGGACTCCTCTCCAGCGTGTGCGCTGCTGAAGTGGAAAGAGTGGAGAGCTTCGGGGGAGGAGCAGGTGCTGCTTTTTTTAACCTGCAACAGACTATAATGGAGTCGCTCTGTTGGAGTAACTATAAAATATTTGAAACTAAAATTGATCAACAGATTGTGCGTTGTCACACAAGCTGATCGTCTGGACTCTGGAAGGTGCTGTCCTGCCAATCACTGGCGTCGCATTTTCCTGAAAAGTCGAAGTAGTATTCGCTTTTACTTATTTGTGTGACGATATGCGTTGCAATGGCTTTCTCCACTTGCCGAGATGTAAACAGTGCCTATTAATATAACTATGCATGCCAAAAAAAAACAAAAAAAAACACCTGAACAACTTTCTGGAGGAGTGGGCCGTGTTCGCGGCATCGGACATGCTTAAAAGCCCAGAAACAAGGTGTTCTGTGGTTGGTGCGGTTCTCTATTTACATGCCTATTCAAGTGAATATCGTGCATTGAATTATTCAGCGGGCTTCAACGTTGGTTCATCATAACGGTAAAAGGATTCCTTTCTTTTCAATAAAAAATAATTAAAAAGGTTACGTTTTATAATCGTTTTATAATTTTGAAACGTGTTTTGCGGTGGTGAGTCACGTTAAAGCAATCGGTAGTTGATATGCTAACGCAAATTTTTCTATTTTTGCGGTACGGACAATAAAAAAAACGAAGCTGGTATACAAAGAATTTAAAAGGGAACCCTTCGAAGTGCGAGCTGACGTGTCGCTAAGAAACCTAGCTTTTCCACGGCCATAAAGAAGCTAAGTGTTAGCAAACACTGGCCGCACTAGGTTTTATCATAAAATAGTAGCGATCCGAATAGCGCAAAAAGAGATCACCGTATTTCACAAATCTTAGCATGTTAACGCTACAGTTTCCTAGCCCGAGACCCTTTTGACAGCCCAAAACTGGTCTGCGAGAGACCTCAACAATGAAACAGATCAAAGACGAAAACGTTCCAGGTATGGAACCTAAATAATTTCGACGCGATTTTGTTTCTCAAATTAACTCGAAATGTAGGAAAACATGCATAGATGCTTGCGCGGGTCGGTACAATATTTAACATTTGGAACGCATTATTTGTTTTTTAACTCCAGCTGGTTTTTGGCAATTATATATTGCGGCAATTATATATTGCGGCAATCATATAATGCGGCAATCCCTCATTTCCACCAGAACAAAGATTAAATGAACGGGCTCACCTGTTAACATTGGGCTCTTTGTAAGAGGGTACCGAGAGTTTGCGAGGTCGCTCACTTCTTCTCGTAGGTGGTGGTGGGGGCTCGTCGGCCGTTGCTGCAAGACAGGATGGCAACGTCTCGCACACAACGGTTTCTAAGGGCTCATTTAGGCGCTCTCATTTGAGTGGGATCTGCTGAGCTGTAAGCACTTGTGACCGCTTATGACGAGAGTGACGAGAGGAGACACTGGTGCCATCTATTAGGTAACACTGGAACACTTTTAATTTGCGTACATTTGACCATTTTTAAATCCGATTGCTACCAGATTTAATGCGCCAGCGTGCTTAGGAAGCGCATCCTCTCGCTGTAAGCGGTACCAAGCGGTTATGCCGACAGATGTGTGAACCTGCGTGAGCCCGATAAGAGTGGTTCTTTCGTCGAAAAACATTTTCACCGAAAAACCCATTGAGTGTTGGTTTTACCATGCACGTTTCATGGACAAACGTGACGTGCTTATTAGCTGTGGCAATAAGACGGTTCCACGAAACGCCTTTTTTTCTTTTCGGTGTCCGCCACTTTCGCCATTAGTTTACACGCAGACACTTAGTTATTGGCGTCGTTCTTGGTGTTGGTGAGACGCTGAAGCGTGTCGAGCGGCTCTGGATTTTAGTTTACGTAGATTTGTTTGCTTTCCGATCCGCCTGGGCGACATCTACCGCGGCGTTTTAGGCCGCCGACGGGTCGACTTCTCATTCCCCATCTTGTCTTAAACTTGAATAAAGACTGGTACGTATAAAAATCGAGTACCAGATGATGCTCCTTTCATCATTGACTACTCCGGCAAACGCAATCGCTCATAACGCCAAAAAAAAAAAAAGATAACCTCGACCGATTTGGAAAACACTGCCTTTCCGCGCGTAGAAAGACATACGGCTGAAGTTTATCAATGTGGTACCCGACGAGATTTCGAGCCGGAAAGAGTTGTTCGTGTCACTACCAATCGCAGTTGATACTTAACGCTTGCGTCAGCTAGCTCTATTTGTGACATAGTACAACATAAACACCCTACGGTACGGACCGGGGTTCTTGAGCGGAGGATGAAATCATCTCTAATGCAATGCACCTTCTATTAGTGCCCTGAAGTTAATGCAATATCAAACACGAAGAAGCTTCAGGAATGCCATGTGCCAGATTGGCAACCTCCTCCCAAGGGGCTCCAGAAACGCAAAATAGTATACTAATCATTTAGAGATAATCCTGACCACCGATTAAAAACCGTACCACTCTAAGAAATCTGCAGCGTGTATACTTTTCCGCAAAGCACTTGGGAAAGTCAATCGCTGCTGTCTGCTGAAGTAGCAATGCGAATGACAGCTTGCGATGTGTGCATGGCGAAACGTCATGCTGCACTGTCGCCGCGCAGGCTGCTGTTCTTTTTTACAGCGAAGCTGTTTATGGCTAGGGTTCCGTGGATTTTTCGTGTGCGTCAACAAAAACTCAGTCCCGAATTCGATGCAAAATCCCTTCATTCTATGCAAAAACTTACACGTCTCATCACTTTGATATGCATTTTAAGTACATGAGTTATCAATAGGCACCATTCTCAAGATCAGTATAAACTCGGGTAGATAATAAAGGTTTCTCAAAGATTTACCACTGCGCGACCCGCGTCGCTCTTGTCTATGCCCGCACCGCCCTCTCTTTGTCGTCGTTCCAAGCGCTTGCGTGCCTAGTTTCCTTTCCTTCCGCTCTCCCGGGGTGGCGGTCCCGTCGCGCGTGTCTACTTTCCTCCGGTCCCTCGGGGCGGGTCTGTGTCGTGTGCTAAACAGCTTCGCTGGTCATCCACCTTCACTAAATAAAATGGCTCGTGATTTTGTTTTTGTTTTTTATGTCTAAACATGTTTGCTTTTTAAGTGCTTTGCTGGAAATTAGTCACTCCAGGTTTCCCAAGAGTGATTACCTGAGGAAACTTAAGAGCAGTGTGCACCACACCTTCATCAGGCTTTTCTGCTGATTTCTCCTGGTCGGAGGTGGCTGCACGACTCTGCAGCCAGAAGGGCATTTTACTGCGCTCGCTCGTCCGGGAAGTTGAGACTCGTCCACTCCGCGAAGCTTCGGGGGCAGGCTCAGCTTTGTCAGTGAAGGGCTGTCCCGGTAAAACCGTTGTTTGTTTCGAGGCCCCCGGGGTTTCATCGGCACGCGCGTTCTTCGACGTGAAGAATTTATATTGGGGGTTCTTGGTTGGAGTCTAAAAGGAAGTGTTCAAGAATAAATTGGAGCAAGAACCTCAACGGTAGTCAGCTCTTTCAGTCTCAGATTGGAATGCATTGTACATCTACGTTTTGACACGCATACCAGATGAAACTTGCATTTCGAGGAGAGAAACCAAAAGTTAATACAATGAAAGCGACGGGAGAATTAGAACGTCAGTTATGATAACACTCAACATCATGTTCTAGATGTAAGCAGGCAGCAATATAAAATATAAATAACAACACCCTTTTTCGTCAAAATACTGCATGGGAATTGGAATACCTTCTTGACATTACATGTGGCAAATCATCTTGATTTAATCTCTTCAATGTAGCATAACCCAAGATCTATAAAGTTTTTTTTTTTTTTTTTTTTTTACATATTTACAATAACATGAGACTTGGTATTAGGACCGGATCACATATAGGTTGTGCTCACGTCATCGGCGCGTATGTGAGCTAGTCTCTTCAGAAGACATGCTTATTCAAGACAGGCGCGGCTGTAAACAAAAGCACGTTCAGCACGTCCTGCGGTGTCTCAGTTTCCCACTTGTTTCTTTTCCACCTTGCCATTTATTTTAAATGGCAAGGATTTTTTAATAGTGTTGCTCTAAACACGAACTGGCAGTGCACCACACAAAATGCTTCATAGCTGTTTGTTGGCACTAATGAAAAATAAAGCATTAAATACTCTTACTGTTATTACTATTACTATTAACTAACTCTATAATTTCGGCTTCCGTGGCCCCTTTTTTAATATACTTGAAAACTTTTTTATCGATCGCTCCCAAATCGTATCTGTCGGGCATTTTAAAAGTGCACAAGTAATGATAAAGGCTGGTGTCCCCCAGGGATCTGTTTTGTCACCATTACTCTTTAACCTCTATGTGAACGATATTTCCACCAGAGTATCTAGTTGTGCCATCTTTCAATATGCAGACGACACTGCACTGGTATCCCGTCATCTTAGATATGATATCGCCGTCCGGCTATTGCAGGATGACGCGAAGCGAATAGTGGACTGGTTCGGCGAGAATTTATTTACAGTGAATGCATCAAAAACAAAATTAATTTGCTTTAGAAACCCGCTAAAAAAAGTGAGCCTTGACTTGCCAGTAGCATTACACTGTTCGAGTTGCCTTGACTGTGAGTGTCCTCATCTCGAGTATGTTGATCATGTTAAATATTTAGGGGTGTTATTTGATTCCGACATGTCTTGGAACTCACACTTGTCTGTTTGTAAGAAACTTCGGAGCGTTAGTTGTATGCTTTTTATTAATAGAGTTTTCATGCCATTTTTCGTGAGGAAGTCAATTGGACATGCCCTTGGCTATAGCTTACTTAGGTTTGGCATTACGGTGTTCGGGAATTGCGCGCAACTGTGGCAAATTAAAATTGACCGTATATTAAAGGCTATATTGAAGAGCGTGGGATATCAGATGGATTTTCCACCTGATATTAATGTTTTCGAATTTCTACAGATGCCAAATTTTTCTTCTCTTTTTTTGCAAACTGTTGTGCTGAGACATTTCTGGAGTAATGACTTTAAGCGCCCCTCTGTACATCAAAGGAGTCTTCGCTGCACACCACGATTTCTTACCCCCTCTTGTGTTACGCGTTACGGCAAAAGAGTTCGGCCTTATTACGTACCGTTCGTTTTCAATAAACTTCCGGAGAGTGTCATCAACGCCAATACAAGGAGAAAGTTAAAAACATTGTTGGCCAATCTAAAAATTTAGCGCGATTACCCAAAATTTGCTTCTAGTACTTTGTGCCCCCTGTGTTGTCGAATTGTTATCTATTGTTTATTTCTTCATCTCTTCTACTAGCCACTTGATTTTTTTTTCGTCGTCCGACTTGCCGGGTGCTGTCCCACAAGCCTCCTTTGGCTTGGACAGACCCGGATTTGTACTGTGACACTTTTTTTATATGTGGAATAAAATTATTATTATTATTATTATTATTATTATTATTATTATTGTTGTAGCATTTTATTTTGACAGTTTTTGCAGTATATAAAACAGCACCATAACATCAAATATGTCCCATTCATTTTCTCACAGCACTGAGATAAGAAAATCGTAATCGAATCTATTCGAAGCTTGGGAAAATGAGTGGTGTTGAACTAATAATTTAACAATTCACAGGCTGACAAACTTGATGATACTATATATGCATACACACACATATACACACACATACATATATACACACATATACATAAACACACACATACATACATACATACATTAGGAAGAAAGGCGGAAGTGTTAATTGTGATGAACAGAATCATGACTCAGCTAGGTTTAAGCACTGGCAGAACTAAAAAAAAAACTTCATATTAACAGTACAAAAGCTTTTGGGTGCCCTGTCAAGCCTTGTAGTCACAATAAGGAAGATATATAGGTTCCCAAAACCCAGTTTGAAAACCCGTGCTGCGGACCTTAGGTATCTATACGCAAACGTCATACCACGAGTTTTTGCTTGGGATCTTTCGGTGATGCTTGTTTGGATGGAGAGTCCTTGGGTACGGCCACCACTTCAGGGGTCTTCATTTCCTCTGGACTGCTCAGGTCCTCATAGCAGACAAAGGCAATGTCAGCCAGGGGGGTAGTGTTGGAGCTTGCAGGCGATTTCCAGACAGCCGGTTCTGAAAGATGAACTCGAGTCATGTCAGCAAATCCTCGTGAAGCTCGTTGGCCAGTGTGCACAACTACCCAGAGGTCGGCATTTTAGGTAGCCCTCACTCACCCTCACCCTCACAGCCACACTCACCTATGCCCCTCACTCACCCTCACAGCTACACTCACCTTCAACCCCTCACTCACCCTCACAGTCACACTCACCTTCAGCCCTTCACTCACCCTCACTGAACCTCACGGCCCTCACGCACTCACCGCCCTCACGGCCCTCCCGCCCCTCACGGCCCTCACTCACTCATGGCCCGCACGAAACTCACCGCCCTCACGCCACTCACAGCCCTCACAGCCCTCACAGCCCTCACCGCCCTCACCGCCCTCACGGCCCTCACCGCCCTCACCGCCCTCACGGCCCTCACGCCACTCACCGCCCTTGCGGCCCTCACGCCACTCACGCCCCTCACGCACTGATGGCCATCACGCCACTCAGGCCAGTTTCAGATGGGGCAATTTCGCCCAGAAACTTTACGTCCCAACTCCAGCAACACGGGCCGCCCGCGATCACACGCAGCAACCAATTGCTGCAATTTGCCATCGTCATCATAAAATTTTATTTTTCTTGCACTATTTGGACACAATTACGCGTTATAAACGTGTTTTTATGCATTTAAATCTTGTTAAGAATACTAATGCACCTTTCTGAAGCAGTTCAGTTCCAAAAAACGATTGATTTCAAACCAGAACCAAGTCTTTCGGTGTCATCATCAACGGCACGAGGTATCACGTGAAAATTTTGCGTCCCTGATTGGATGCAGCCGCTTCAAACGTATTCGAATTGCTCCGAGTTGCTTGCTTATTTCGAGCCGGACCCGATCTCAGCAATTCGTGTCGATCTAGGGAAAGCTAGAGAACAACCCGTCATTAACACCAAAATTGCTGAGAAAGATGCTCGATCTGAAGGGAGCCTCACGCACTCACCGCCCTCATGGTTCTCACACACCTGATGCACTCACCGCCCTCACGGCCCTCACGCCTCTCATACCACTCACCGCCCTCACGCACTCAAGGCCCTCACACCCCTCACGCACTCACCGCCCTCACACCACTCGCACGCTCATGGCCCTCACGCCGCTCACCGCCCTCACGCACTCATGGCCCTCACGGTCCTCACGGTCCTCACGGTCCTCACACTCATGAATTTTCCTGGTTCAGAAACTCACTCACCCTCACCTCACCTGTGAAGATGAGGGTGAGTGAGGGCCCTCATGAGTGAGGTTTGCCGAGGTATGCAACTACCTTTGTGTTGTAGATTTTGACACCGTCATAAAGTTTAGAAAATTGCTCGTACATGTGGTATCATATAAAAAAAATAATTTTACGCGAACCCGACAGTGAGTCTACCCAGTCAACTTACAAATGAAAATTTAAAAAAAAACTCGGTTGGCAACCCTAGACAACATTAAAAATAACCGTTGAAACAGCGCGCAAAAAACGTACAAGTCGGCAGAAATTGATTGGACAAGTGCTGAGTTGCTGCAACTGAGCTTTTCTTGAAGACAAAGAAAAAGCCAAAGAGAATATCACGAACCAAATAAAATAGAAAAATAGAAAACATCAAGACTCCTAGTACAAATTCTGCTGTATGTTTATAGAGCCTTGCTGCTAATGCGCCTTAATGGGTGAGTGTCTCTCGGCTGTAAATGAGCAATTTAGCCAGTGCAGTACAACCGCTATTTTGGAGTCTAACTTGCACCACTCAGCAGTGATTACCCGAACGCGTGCCGGTGCGAAACTCATCCAGATCGAAAAGGGCAGGGGGTGGGGATAGAACCCAGGAGGTTCTACAGCGCAAGTTTTCGTTCCACGCCCCGAGCTGAGACGCCTCAGCCCACTCGGCCACCAATCACCCTGATTCCACGCATACCTCATGATTCCCCACTTATCAATGAACTGCCTCATGCATATCAGTACAGGTATGATTGAAAGAGTTATTTCTACCCGCTAATTTCATAACATTCTATACTGCGTTCCACCGTAAGTCACTGCAGAGTCGAAGGACAGAAGACACAAACGGAACCGCAGGCTAAAACTCACAAGGTCAAGGTGCATGCCCTGCGCTTGATTGATTTAGCCGGTGCACATGAAAAGTGCACTCTGAAAACCGACGAGCGCCGTGACGTTGCGTTGTTAGTGCTGCTTGCTTGAACTCAACGGCTTGTATAGTACCACGAAGCTCTGACTTAAGTTCAAGTTAACAGTGATGGAACTGCTGAGCCATTGTGCCATGAACGTAACACTGTTACATCTGGCGTAAAATTACAATTTTTGCTAAGGCTTGCGCTACACCTGCGCCAAGAAAAAAAAAATATTTGTCAACCCTTATATTTAGAGAAATAGATGGAAAGAAAAATGGTATAAATGTGAATTTCACAGCATCTCTACTCACCGTATAGTTTATTTCGTTTTAGGTCAGAGCACCCGTCGAAGACACGAACACATAGAACCACAAACACACATACTAATAGCGCAAGCCACGGGACATTCGCTGCACTTGATTGGTTTAGCGGATGGAAGAACACGTACAAAGAGATGAAGGCCATGATGTCACGCTTTGATGCTGGGCATCAACCGCGCTGGCCGGTTGATGCGCTGGCTGGTTTATCGCAGACATTGTCTAAAGACGATGTCTAAAGAAAGCTTTGCAAAATAGTAGGATTGCCGATGGCGGCTATTATGATAAAACAGAACCAGGGGTTTGAACTCCTGATCAGATCACTCGATTATCATGTCTGCCACATGGCTTTGTTCCGGGACTGCGGCGTACCGTGGCACTTGCGTCGCTCCCGCCAACCTTCGCCGCCTCTCACCAGTGAGCGCGCGTCGCGCTTCACCGCTTGGCACCGGAGTGCTAGGAGCAGCGGCTTACCTGGGAGAGCGCCTGGCTTACCGCGATATAGTCACGGTAGTTCCCGTGCAGTTGTCGATCGAAAGAGTAGCGAACTTTGACGTAATTCTGGTTCCTACGCCCTTAAAGAGCCGCGTCACCTTTAAAGCGCAAGTGTAGGCTTTTATAATAATTTTGGGTGTTTTTTTTATTTTTTTTAGTTTATGATATTAGAGTCTTAAGTTTGGTAGGTGCATTAAACTTACGGGGCGCATTTTTATTGGCAAACGCGTTAGCGGATATGCTGGTTCTTGCTGGAATTCAGCAGAAATTATATTTACAGGTTAAACGAACTACCGAGTGTAAAATGGGGTGGAGAAAAATAATTCATCCCAGTGAATGTTGCGCTATGATTCACTTTCCAACCATTTTTTTTTTTTTTTTTGAATACCCATTGTAAATAAAACCTGTTCTGACCAGATCTCTATTTAAGAAGACTGTTCGTCTACGCCCGATATATTCTTATCAGAAACGGTAATAAGTAATATGCTCAAGTATCAAATACTAACCCTCGATCACTATTATAAATGAACTCGTTTACAGATGCAATCACTTTTTTATTCTCAAATGATGTGCTAACAGATGTTACTGGCTGCTCAAAGCCAATATTCTGCCTGCTACTGAACCTGCTACAGAAGGTTAAATGCCGCTTCCATCACTGAATTAAGTATGGAAATTATCTTAAAAGTTTTACCTTTATTTTTATAATGACCCAGCTGTAATATGTTTTCGTCATTACGACGACTATAACAATCCCACAATTCAAAGCTCCCCCCCCCCCCCCCGGCGTGTTTATCTGAAAAAACACAATCTGATGTTATTTTATTGATTACCGCCCAGTTTGGTCAATTTGTACTTTGCCTATGGTCAACACGGTTTGGTAGCCAATACCCATTACGGCTGAAACGTGCTTACGCTCGTGTTTCACTTCGCAAACGCGCTTATCCTGTCCCTTTCCGACGAGTCCGGATCACAGTTTTTTGCGCCGAGTTGCGGGTGGTTAATCCATGACTCAGCATATAATTTTAGGTTATAAGAGGCCCTGTGATGTTTGCAGTTCTTCGGCAGATGGTTTTGTTACATGCTGCTTGATGGTCCTTACCTGGCAGCTGCGATGTCTGAGGGCTGAAGGCGAAGTGGACGTCAGAACCGGCAGCAGAGGATGGAGACGCCGGAAGGCTCGCACTAAGAGTTTCGGATAACCTCCGATGTCTCTCTGAAACGCGCGATAGGGACGGACACTTTGAGTCCCACTGACAACGCAGGTTACCGTGGCAGTGAAGGAGTCTTCGCTACAACATCAACTCTTAATCGGTGTCCAAACAGGACACTTCAGAACGCGTGAAGGGCTGTCCAAACAAAACACTTCAAGAACGCATGAAGGGCTGTCGAAACAAAACACTTCAAGAACGCGTGAAATCACACTTCGCCATATAAAGTGCAGCTTTCCGCTTCCGTCCGTTTTTCTTTGTTTTTTTTTTGTTGTTTTTTTTTGGCGGGGGGGGGGGGGAAAGGGGGGGGGGTTTGTTAAAGTTCGCTTGTATTGTTCACGAAGGCCTAGAGCATGCTTATCACGTGGATCCGGACAGCCACTCACACGCTCTGCTGGCTGTCAGTCAAACGCTGAAGGCCTCCGCTGTTATTCGTCTAATCCCTAAAACGGGAAAGGGAAGAATACGAGGGCGCGGCAGAAACAGATGAACAGGCACCTACATCACAGAAAAGCAGAGGAGGTGAAGAGGAGAGCGATTATGTTTGCCTGGTGAACGTCCAAACAGAAGACGGACGGCCGGACCTCAACTTTTAACTTCATTTGGTGGAGAAGTGTCGCTTCACGCGTTCCGAAGTGTCCTGTTTGGACACCCCTTGGGGCGATACTTCTTCGCCATATGAAGTGAAAGTGGAAGTTCGGCTGTCCATCTTCTGTGTGGACATGCGCCAGCCAAACACCACGGCTTTTGCTTTCCTCCTCGCCTCCTTTGCTTTTCTTGACGTCGGTGCTCGTCAGACTGGACATCACACGCTACCTGCCAATGGCGTGCCTGTTTCGTGTTCATGTGTTCTGCCGCGACCTTGTATTTTAGGGGCAGTGACAAAGCCCGCAACGACGATTGCTTTGCTTCCTTTTCCGACTACGTCGCCAACACACGCATACTTTCGTATCCTTCCCTTTCCCGTTTTCGGGACCTGAAGAGCAGCGGAGGTCTTGGACGATTGACTGACAGTCAGCAGAGCGTGTAATGTCCACCCATGTGATGAGTATGAAGTGGAAACTCCTACCACCTCTCTTCACTTCACTGGAGAGGAGGCGACCTCCTCTCCCGCGTTCGCTCTGCCAAAGGGGAGGGAGGTGGCAGGAGCTTCCACTACACTCTTAACCTTGGCGGAAGGAAGCTCCTCCCAGCCACCCCCCCCCCCCCCAAAAAAAAAGAAAAAAAAGAAAGCGGACGGAAGCGGTGTGCCTTACTTTATATGACGTGTCCTGTTTAAACCGCCTTTCAGGCACCCCTGAAGTGTCCCGTTTGGACAGACCTTTACGGTATGGTACATGCCTTTTCAGGGCCTGACTACCCCTACAGTTTTTAACAGCCGTTCATAGAGTTGATAACAATCTGATTCTTAATGTTTTTTTTCCGCTTTAGAGAAGTGCTTCTGGCCAGATGATTTTGGTTCCCATGTCCACCATAACGCTGCACTGCCGAGACAAGTCCGCCAAGACGTAGTCCGCCATCCTGCATTTTGTCCCATTATTCTTGGAAAACAAATGAGATTAAAAGAAATAATAAAGCTATTTGCTTGTTCAAACTGAATGTTGATTCACACCCTTACCCCCCACCGACATTCATCTTTAACTTGTTGAAAGCAGTCAGTGTACATTTAAAATATAGTCGTTAGGCTGTGCAAAGCCTGAACACTTGATCAGGTGCGCCTGAAAGTCGACACGCTCTCAACATTTCCCCCGAACTCGTCTTAGGCGAGAAAGAATTCAGTCTTTTCAAGGCTCTGTAAACTTCAGCGATACATGAGGACGATAGCGATAAGAAGGATTAGTATGAGGATGTTTTCTTCAGCCTGGGAATACGCTCTGAAAGGTTCGTGATGAGTAGTGCTTATTCGAGTGGGTCCATCTGTTGGTGCAATAGCACCGAGGAGACAAGGCATTACGGCCCATCGTTAGCAGTTCTCCAACCCGCCTCAAGCGACGAACACGCCTAAGCTGGGCGAGAGCACGCCACGCAAAGCGGCAGACGCGTCTATATTGGCGGCGTCGCGTGCCAGCGTCGCGCTCGTAAGACGTTGCAAGACACGCTGGCGGCGACGTTGACGGGGGTAGGCGGCGCTGCTTGTATCCACTAGTCATGACATTTGGGAGAAAAGGCCTGGTCTTCCAGGTGGTATGCAGAGACCAAGTCGTCTGCCTTTTGCGCAAAAGTTGCACTGATGCCAGAATGATGCCGAGCACCGATTGGCTTTGGTTGAAAAAATAGTGGGTCGACCTCAATGCTAGATGCCTTCAAGTTTACTCACTATATTTTTCAATCAGCCAATAGGAGCTCGACGTTCTGACACCATCGCAACCTCTGTGCAAAAAGCAGTCCAACTTGCGCTCAGCATTTGTTTGATTTACGTGCAGCTCATAAGGTAGGCCGAACGGGGAGGGGCAACTGTACAGCGCTGTTCTCACCCAGACGTTCGTAAAGAAGAAAGCTCGATCCCTCGGTGCACGGCGACGTGCTCAGGCGCATGTCCTCCTGGCCAGGAGCCAGCGAAGCCTGCTCGTCGGACCGCCCTGGACTCGGAGCGTGTAGGAATGACTGGCAGTCGTCGTTGCTCGGAGTTTCTGTAATGCGTACGACCCAACAATGTTAATGTTGATAACTCTAAAAAGGTCTGCAGAACTTAAAAATCGGCTTTTCCTTCCCAGCGTTTGACCACATCCATGTTTGTGGAGGGCGATTCAGACGAGCCAAATGTACTATGAGCCGGGAAGGAAAAGCGCGGCACATTCTACGGAAGCTTTACAACAACCTCACATGTTTCAATCTAACAGAGTTCTTTGTTCGAACTTAACAACAGTCGCTTCTCGATGTTGCTCTCCGCAAGACGAGCCCGTTTCTTTTCGTCAGCACTTCGTTGGTAAGGCTAAACAAACTTTCCACCGAAGCACTCGATGTCACTGCCGTGTTGTACTCGAGGAAAAGGCTGTGCAATCCCTCGAAGCTTTTCATCTGCGACAGCGGGTGGTCGACTGGCACCAGCAGGTTCCGAGACAGTTGGTCCTGTGCTTCGGACTGAAGGGTTCGTTGCCCGATTAAGTTGTCTGGTGTTGAGGAGACGGCAATATCTGCCCTGGCTGTGGAGGTCGCCGAAGCTAGCTCCGTCTTGAGGTAGTTAGACGCCTGGTCACATATGGAACCATCTTCGACTTTAGATTTCTGTGCGTATGAGGATTCCCGGAAGTAAAGAAAGTACCGAGTTCGAGACGTCCCTCTTTCTGTATATTTTCCTTCGACTAAAAGCTTTTTTTTTTTTTTTTGTACCGTTGTCTTGGGCATTAAAAACAGGATCAATATCCACCAGCTCGCCTGCACCCCAATGTTACGGAGTGAGGACCCCACAAAATAAATCCTAGAATAAGTAACAAAAAGTTATCGAGATCGCGCTCTTCGTAAAGATAGTTCTATTTTATAGAAATTCCCCTTAGGAATATTTAAAAGAAAAAAAAAAAAAAACACTGAACAGAAAAAGAAGAAACGCCGTTTTTTGTTTTTGTTTTAGTAAAGATGTAACGAGTTCCCGTTCCAGTTCCACTTAGGCAGAATAAAACGACGGCGTTCCTCCGGTGCCCTCAAAAAGAGCGCCTTCAAATTTCTAAGCGGTAGCCTGGAATTCGTCACTTTTCTATACTTCGTTTAAGCTGAAATTCAGACGCAGCCGATGCTATCTACGATCTGTTCGAATTAAAATGGAACACCCGGTATGCCTTAAAGACCGACGACCAGTTCGCGCTTTCCACTTTTCCCTCGCTTCCTCCTCTTCCCCTTCTACCCTGTCCACCGCTGCCTGTTTCCTCCTCCCCCATGGTGAGGAGGATCTTCTGCCTTGCAGAATCTCGAGTCTGGTCGTCGGCCTTTAAGCATCAAATCAAATAAAGAAAAATATCAACTCTGTTTAGATTCAGCTTTCAGCCTTCTAGACCTTGGAATTCACATTCCTTGCGACGCTCGTGGGGGCGAGTGAACTCAAGCGAGGGAGCACGCGCAGTGCAACCAGTGCAACCCTGCCCAAGCACCGCCCTGAGCAACCGAGAGTGAAGGAGTTCGGGATTAGTTCGGGAATGTGGAATGACCTCGGTCTCTACACACCCAGGATCTCGGGCAGCAGCAGCTTGTCCTCGTTCTGTGCCGGTAGGTTCTGTTGGCCGGGAGAGAAGGACTCCTGCTCTCCGGTGTGGTCTTCCTCAATCACAGTCAGATCTGCCGTGAGGCGACTGCCAGGGGGGTGCAAGGACCTCCGTCTGCAGGACAAGCACGCATCGCGCGTGTAATTTGTCTCCGCAAGTTGCCTTTTTTTTTCTTTTTTTTTTTTTTTTTACGGGGACGTTGTTTATTTTTAGCTTTCCGTATAGGGAGACCTAGAAGAAGACATGTTTATAGACAACTTCACGGGCCATCGGCACTCCCACAGGTGTCACAACTTCAGAAAGCAGAAAGAAATTGCTAGTATAAAAAATTATCATCCTCGCATGTATGCCTTGATATGCACAGTAAGGCAAGAAGCTATTGACTCCGCCCATAAAGTGTCAAAACCAAATTTTGGGTTTTTACGTGCCAAACCAACGACGGGTATTTGGCACGCCCCAGTGAAGGACTGAGGATCAATTTCGACCACATTGGAATCTTTTGACGTGCAACCGAAAGCTCGGTTGGTTACACGGCGCCTTCTCCGCAATAAGCCTCCGTCAGATTGTGGGCACCTCGGCCGAGATTCGAACCCGCCACATGGGGATCCGTATGCTGGCGCTCTCGCCTCGGAGCCACCAAGGCGGCGCCCTTGAAGTGTCTCATCTCCTTTTTTGGCTCATTTTAAAACTATGCTGGCCCTTAAAGGTGCCTTGAGCAGGTTTCTGAGATCACCTAAAAAGGTGATAACTCACCTTGCTGGTTCTTAGCATCCTAGAAATGCCTATATCGTGACGATACGCGGCCGATTTTAATATTAAAAAGAAATAAGAGATCGCCAAACACCGACTTCATCTCCGGCGATGGGTGGAGCATGTTCCGAAACCAGGACCACTGTCAGTAAATAGCAACCGAAGGATCTTCGCGTCTCTGACCGGTGGAACCGAGGAGTGATATCTCGAATGCGCGCGGCTCGTTGCCCATACAGCCCGGACTACGACTCTACCATAGCCTCCTCTATACTGCCAAAGCCTGGCAGATCGCCACGAGAAGCGGCCGCCGAAACTGAAAAGGTAGAGCGGCAGACAACGGATGAGAGGAGAGCCACGTGACGGGCGCCCCGCTGCGGCGAGACGCTAAAACACACTTCTCCCGAGCGATGGAATGTCCGCTCGTGCTCCTCGCGCTCCCGTTCCTTTTCTCGTCGGGTTTCAAAACCATGTTTCCGGTCCTCGCCGCTGCAAAAAGCTGTGCGCTGACGTCCAGGTTCCCCGAGAAGTGTTCTGTGCTACCAGACTCTCGCGTTCCAAATCTGCGACCGGGCACATGGCTCCGCCGTCGAACTGCCAGGCTTTGAGTATAGACATTTTCCACAAGCGCGCCGCCATCTTGAATTGTCGTCACTTCCAGTATGAGCGAAAACATTGTTTTGCCGTAGTTACGCCAATTGAAGACATTTAGGAGATAAGCGTAACCGTCACTCATTCTCGTTTTGTATCCCCTATATTTGTTTACTAGTTACAGGTTGAAGCGTTTTATCATTTTTTCGTCGCCCATACCGGATACGCCTATTATGTGGCTGTCCCTGTCACTGGCAAGTATAGACCGTTCCATTAGGGTCGTAGCAGAGAGGGTAAGAAAAAAAAAATGCTCTCCCCCTCTCACCCGCATCTTGTCTGCTCCGCCGAGTGCGCTGTAGCTAGCGTTCGGCTGGCGTACAAACTCTGTTTAAAATCGCGTCATTTTGGAAATTTCAAGCGCAGATGCGCATATTTTGGTATGCCAGTTATCGTGTAATACTATGCTAGATAAAAAGACTCACAGGGTCCAATTGCGCTGTTACCTGCGTGCAAATAAAAAAAAAAAGGAAAAACTCTCAGATTGGTCGATCTCTCCGGCGAAAAGTAAATCCGGTTGCTCTATATTTTTTTACTATACAAAGTTCGTACTGGTGTAGGCCTTTAGCGACCATGAGTGGAAATCTGAAATAATAACTAAAAAAGTGCTCTCCTGCCGCAATACACGCAGTAGTTGAGGTACTGCCGGCTGACTCAACTGCTATATAACTTGTAGGGTTCGGAGTTTTCGGTTTAAACCGATAAAAACCGATAAAAGTACGCCGAATTCAATTTCGGAAATTCGGTTTTAACCGGAAAAGGTCAGTTTTTAGGTTCGGCATTTTCGATTTAAATCGATAAAAACCGATAAAAGTACGTCGAATCCATTTTCTGAAAACGATTTTTAACCGGAAACGGTCACTTTAACCTTCCAGTCGTACCGCAGAGCCGTGGCGAAAAAGTGGAACGACAGTGTCCATCGAAACGTTTCCGAATGTATGGGATACACGGATGCCATCACGACATTTTGGTTTATTGTGCGCATCATCGATCGGAACGCGAAGTCCGAAATGCCCCATGACTTCGCCATGTACAGGCGTGTTTTCAAACTCGTTGTAAGGAAGGCTGACTTCATGCAAGCTCTGCATGTTGTGTTGTGCTTTAAAACGTCGCACCGTGTCTCTTTTGGTGCTCACAATTGGTTGATTGGTCGATTTTGACTCAGGCAGCGCTTCATCTACTCAGCCTGCCAGTGTCCAGTGTTAGCGTTGAGAGGGCATTTTCGAAGCTCAGTGTCATATTAACAGGAAAGAAAGAGTGCGGATCAACGAGGAGAACCTGGGAAAGTACATGCGTGTGTACTGTAATAAGATCAAGTAATCCTGGTAAACAGAAGGTGAAGTTCCATGTTTTTTGAGCATAGGCGTCATATCTGATTTGTTTTTACTTCTGTTTATTTTTTATTGATTCTTTACAGTTGCGCACATTTGCGAAATAAAGTGTTCATTTTTTTTTTCAATATATCTGTGCCGTTATTAATTGAGTGATAAAAAATATCAGTGCTACAAGGATCATCTGATCCGGTGTCCGTTGGTGTTTATTTTATATACACCGAAAAAAGACGATAAATTTTGGTGGGCATAAATATACGCCGAAAAAAACCGAAAATTGGATTTTAAAATAAACACCGAAAAAAGTACGCCGAATTTTGAGAAAATAGAAACCGAAAACGCGGAACCCTATATATAAGTAACGGAAAGAAGATATGTTAGTTGATCATTTACCGAAATATAACAACAGAGAGCTATAGGCTGATTTTGGAGTTGCCATAACTATTCTGAGAACGCGAATCACTTTACAACGGCAGCCACGAGCGAGAGTTCGATGTTCCGTACAGCCCGCCGATACAGCCCAAAGATGGAGAATGGCAACCTCCCGGTTTGTCGTCTGCTAGCGGAGTCGGGCGCGTGCCCTCTCTCTCGTTTTACCCCGCCGAACCCGCTGAATTTCCCGGATGTATGGAGAGGGCGCTGCTGTCGAACAAAATGGTGCCGCCCTGAGAGCGCTAAATGGAATGAACCCAGCGGTCGCGCTCTCGCGCGCTGACGACCGGACTGCACTCCCGCGAAAGACAAAAAAAAAATATATATATATATATATAGTTTCCTATTTTAAGACTATTATTGCTGTATTATGTTCCCTCGCCGCGAAAAATTAACATTTTTCGACCACTCTTTGCTTTTATTATCTACAAAAGTATACATATTTTGTAATAACAGTGTTTGCAATCTCAACGAAATGTTGCGTTTTCATTGGTCACATGCCGTCCTGGCTGCCGGCACGTCGTTCCTCCCAACGCCGGAGATAATTTTGATCTTTGATTGTTTGTTTAATATGGAAATCGGCCAAGCATCGTTATGATTTATGGATTTCAAGGATGCTTAGCTTAGAGCCCGCAGAGTGAACTATCGCGATATTTAGGCGATCTCAAAAACCTCCTGAGGGCACCTTTAAGCACTAGGTCTATTCGATGTCTCGTTCATGTGCCTCTCGTTGAAAACAATGGCTCAGGCTCTGCAACTTTCACGAGTTGAGGTAAAGCCCTGAAACAAGAAAAGGTCACATTCGATGTGGAGTATTAACTCTTTGCCAGGGGGTATATGTTCTGTTTGTTGAACGACATTTCATTCCCTGTGATGCAGCGCATGCTGTCTAAATCAGTACTGAGAGTAAGATGTTCTTGATATCGAGATAATCGCAATACAGCTTACAATAAAGCACCTCGGATTCGGTGTTGTGCACCGTTTATACCGTGAGAGTTGCGCAGTTCTTCAAAGGCTCAAAAAGGCCACAAAGCCAATGACTGTTTAGAATGTTCAGAAAAGCCAGAAGGGGCTCATCTGGTGCAACCGAGACGGAGGTCGAAACTAGGTTGTGCAATATGCCGCCCGGTACGAAAGTCTGCTGATGGCCTGAGAGTGGCGGCCGACGTTTCGCAAATCTCTTAGCAAAACGTTGCCGCCACGACCTTTAGGAAACTTTTTATTGCTTCCTACTAGCGGCTACAACCTTTGTGTAGATTTTATTATTGCGAAGGAAGATAACAAAATGGCATCGTTCGTCATTTTTCAAACGATCATCTTGAATCTTTTCCTTGACCTGCAATGGCAAAATTGAGCCAATGCGGTGCAATGAATGGATATATCTCTACTGTTGATCTATACATTCATCTACTTGACAGTTTGTATTCTTTTCGTTTGCGCCTAAGAGTATCTACCGTTCGCAAAACTAGATCAGCAGAAAGGGGCCCGGAACTCTGCCTTCTGCATCATTTCTTTTTAGAAAGTAAAGCACCCGCTGCCATATGTTTCCTATACAGATTCAAGCACCGTTTCTCAGGCCGCTTATTTCGCATCTTACCCTGAACTTACCTCGGTGGCGGCGCCTCCTGGAAGACATCTCCGCAATCAGGGGCCAGGCTGACGTCATGGCCGTACATGAGGATGTTATGGATAGACAGAATCGCTCGCCCGTGGACACGGGTGATCTCTTGCATGTGACTCAAGCTGTCCTCCATCCATACTTTCAGCTGAAACAGGCACACGCACAACGACGCTCGACAACTGGTGGCTGCAGGATTGATGGTTACAACCCAAAGGCACCCATAAACCAAAGAATCGGTTAAAATCGGAAAACGCCCCATCGTCCAGTGATTATTTGGAGTGGAAGTCAATAAGTTGTCAACCTTAATGTGAATTGAAATATAAAGGGCCAGTTCATCTAACATAGAAAAGCTCAAAACGAATTTATTTAATTTTTTTACGATTTTACGATGTCCCATACTCTAAGGAGCAGAGATGTCACACGGCCCCACCGACACTGCGCTCACCCACATGACGGCAAAAAAGCAACAGCGGGGAACACACACGCACACACACACACGAACACGCACACGCACACCATATAGTTTTTTTTGGGAGCGCAGCTTTTAGGCACCCGTTTCCGTGTTTCGCGGCGTCGTCGTAACTGCGCTAAATTTAGCGGCAAAATTGACGTCACGTGACCTCACACTACTTCAATTCCCCGCTAAATTTAACGAAAAAATTTGTTTCTCCGCTAGATTTAGCGGGAAAATTGACGTTACATGACTTCCACACCAATTTAATTCCCCGCTAAAGTTAGCGGGGAATCGAACTGGTATTGAGGTTACACGACGTCATTTTCCCCACTAAATTTAGCAGGAAGACTGAATTGGAGGAAGAGGGAGAGGAGAGAATGGAGGACAGGAGGGTACGGAGAAGTAGGAGGGGCATACTCTCCCCTCCGTACCCTCCCCTCCTCCTCCTCAAGAGCTGCGCTCTAATTTCGCATTAGGGGGATTTGAAAACGTCTTTCATTTTTTAGAGCGCAGCTCTTCGGCGCCCGTTTCCGCGTTTCGCGGCGTCGCCGTCGGCGTAACCGCCCCGCTAAATTTAGCGGGAAATTAAATTGTTGAGGTCACGTGACGTCAATTTTCCCGGTAAATCTAACTGAGAAACTGAATGTGTTTATGGGTAACGTGACACAAAGTCATGTGACGTCATTTTCCCCGCTTAATTTAGCGGAGAATATGAATTGATGCTGAGGACACGTGACGTCAATTTCCCCGCTAAAGTTAGCGGAGAAACTTAACCCGCTAAATTTAGCCGGGAAATTTGTTGCTAAATTTAGCAGGGGTAATTTTCCCGCTAAATTTAGCGAAGAAATTTTCCCCCTAAACATAGCGGGAGAATTTTCCCGCTTTATATTTTGCAGAGAAATATTACCCGCTAAGTTTAGCGGATTAAGAAGCAAGAGGGGAGGGTACGGAGCGGCATATCCTCCCCTCCGTACCTCCTCCCTCTTCCTCCGCTAGAGCTGCGCTTTTATTTCGCATTACAGAGATTTGTAAACGTCTTTTATTTTTTTAAGCCAGATTAAAAGCAAAATTATTCTCGGGTGAAATACCGAATGTACGCCCGATATAACATTTCTCGGCAAACAACGCATATGCCAGATACATTGTCCCAAGTTTGTATCTTCTGTCCCTGACGCCAACATTTGTACCCTATCGTAAATGCTACGATTATACGTCATCCTAATGGATGCAACACACTGGCATCGTAGCGGTGTGCATTTGATTAAAGTTAAAGCTCAGTGTTAACGATCACACTGCTTAGGTTAAAACATCCCTCGCCTTATCACATCGCCATGAAACAAGTGTGTCGAAGATTCGCTCTCATTTCTGACTGACGCCGTGAAAGGCACAACATAACTAGGGGCTCGAGAAAAAATAAAATAGCATGCACGGTTTCATTACACTTTGTGGACATCAGAATGGTGTGTTTTCAAAGAACGCAGAGTGAAAATAAACTGAGTACCTGTGGAAGTAAGAGACGCTCGATCTTTCCTTGGCGTACTGCTGCAGTCTTGAGCCTGCTATTCTGGTTTTTGGCTTCAGCGAGGACAAAGGCCAGCACCTTGTTCTGCTCGATCACAGTGCGCAACCGCTTCTTCAGCTTGGCTGGGGAAAAAAAAAACGAAGGATGTATGCATTTATAGTCTGTTGCAGGATAAAAAAACCAGAACAAGCATAAATACTTAACGAGCGCATTGGTAACGTCAGCAACAACAAGAAAGAACACACAACAAACAAAAACACAAACAAGCACTTTTTTTCTGTAGTGGATATTCGAGAGAACATCTACTTCTTGGAAGAAGCCTTATTTGCAGCAGTCTTCTTAGCAGAAACCTTTTTCGCCGTCTTGGGCTTTTTGGGGGCTCTTGGGTGCGGCGGCCTTCTCTGCCTTTGGATTTCTTGGGCTTGGACGACTTGGGCTTCGCTGACTTGGCCCTCTTAAAGGGATACCTCAACGAAATTTGAAATATACCCGTCGTGTTCAAAAATAGTTTGAATATGATCCACAAATCCGTAAATGACAATCGCACGTTTGTATTTTGGGCCTGGTGGCTGTATTTTTCGTTATAAACGGCCCACTATAGCAAGCGCTCGGAGAATAGCCAGCGGAGAGCACGTGACATCCAATGCAATAGTGACGCGTAGTTTGTCTCGGGACGAGCAAAGCTAAGGCGAGGCTGACGTCGAGAGGATGGCCTAGTCGTTCCAGCCACCGAAGCAGCTGCTTTTGTACAAATTTTGACTGACTGGTTAATCTTCTATAATCGTAAAGAGCGGCAATAGCGACTTCTGGGACACACAAAGGGAATTCTCGGGAAGAGGGGCATTAATCATGCCCACGCGCTGGGGTTGGCAAAAAACGCGTGCTGAGCTCCAGGCATTGTTATTAGAGTTCGGCTGTTTCCATCCCCGCAGTGGTTGAACACGAGCCCCTACCCGAGTGCCCGCCGGAGCATGGATTGTTACGAGCTGAAGTCGAGTGCTCACGCCGTTCTCGTGTTCAATCTATGAGCTGGCGCTCGACTGTCGTCAGGCGGGTGGTGTCGATCTAACAATTACTGAGGGAAATAGTCCCTTTTCATCATCAGAATCTCACCGCGAAAAAGAAGCTTCTGAATCAGTGGTGGTCTGTATAAGTCTAGTCGGGCCAGACTAGGAACAGTACGCCTTTGCAAAGTCATGAACATTCCAACCCGATATCTCTTTATGACCCCTTTAAAGAAGTTTCAACACTTTTTACGAAGTGAAGGTGGCCCCTGCATGTAGTACAGCCGACGAAATGTGAGTTAGTAAAAAAAAAAAAAGTTTCTTGAGTAAAGAAACTGCCACATGGGGCGATGAGTTCGCAACCTTGCGTAAAGGTCCATACGCACATTCGCGTTTGAACGCGTTTGAGTGCGTTGCGGAGTCCTTGCGGCCAGGCGCGGTCCCTTGCGGAGCGACGCGCGCCTTCCCGCAACGCTCGGTAGCCACTGGAGCTCGGTAGCGCGACGCAAGCGAGTAGAGACTCGCTCAACTTTCCGAAGCGTTGTGGTGCGTTCGGGTGCGTTCGACCAATCAGGAGCCGAAAGAGGAGAGGGGGTGACGTGTTCGCTCGCCCCACCCTGCCGACTCGACGAGACGTATCCGGTTCGCCGGTCGCAGTGCTTGCTTTTTTTGTTTTGGGGAGCGGTGGGGACTGTATTTTCCAAGGCTGCGATGGTTCAAGCTTGACAAAACGTCGGGGAAGCCGGCGAGATTATCCCAAGATCGAACACTTCGACGCTGTCACCGTGCGCCGCCATGTTGCCTTGGATTTCGCTTACTATTGGTGAGCCACTAGCGACGATAGCGCGTTCTTACTGGCCCTTGACTGCGGTTGACTGCGTGTCAACGCACCTGTGCGTACAAGTTTAGCGCAAGCGGTCTTCGCAACGCAACGCGTCCGCTTGCCGCTACGGAACGCACCGCGCTCAAACGCGAATGTGCGTATGGGCCTTTATGGCGCATTCACACTGGAAGCGGATCCGCGTTCGCGAAGCGGTCGCGGATGCGGTTCGCGAGCGACCCCGTTCAGACACACCGAGAGGCGGTTGGCGGTTTCTCGGCGATCACGCGTGATCTTTTGAGACTTGCGTTTGGCAACCCTGTTTTACAATCCAAAATCCACTCCAAAGCCAAACTTTTGCTATTTTGGCTAGGGGTGTCGCGAACTTTTGTCGAACCGGATTTTTAGGTCGACCTTTCAGGGTTCGACTGGGTCAAACCGGTTCGACGAACCTTCGACCTTTTTACCAGATTCGACCGGTTCGACTTTGCGGACAGTGTGGCCAGACCTTAATACACGCATGTCTAGGTTTGGAGAATTTATTTTTATGCAGAGGGTTATTTTATTTTATGAACACTTGCAATTAGAAGAAACCAATTCTAATCACTGAAGACGTTAATAACATAATTTTTTTGTACTGTATTAACTGAAATAACCAATTAGCGGTGCCCTTAATTCATCCTTTAGCCATTACCATCCAATCTGAATCCAAATGGCCAGCCTGTTGCGCATGCGCACACGTGTCGAACCTCAATACAAGGTTCGTCGTAATTTTCACAAAAGGTTCGCAAAAATCGAACCTGGTCGAACTCGAACCTCGGCCGGTTCGCGACACCCCTAATTTTGGCACTCGGAGTATTTTTCTCCGGGATGTTCGCGCGCATCACGAGTTCAGGAAGCGAAAAAAAAAGCATGGACCCGCCAAACTCGCCTGTGATTCCCTCGACTCCGCCCACAAGCAAAGCCCAGCTAGGCGCGCCTTACTGACTCAGAACAGGATGCCCCCGACCTTTTCTTCGAAGTGGACCCTTCCCGCATGAATAGCTGACCTTGTTTTCTGGATGGAGGGCCAGTTTTCCCCCTCGTTGTTGTTCGCTCTTATCATTTTCGAAGTTGTGGGCGGTGGGCTGGACCGTGGTGCGGGGGAATGTGTTCGGTGCTAGCCGGTCGTGGCTTCGTTGGTGGCGGACTCACCTCTCGTCACTTGCTCGTCGATCGAGTCTATTGTTTGTTCGACATTAAGCTCAAATAAACGCCGTATGGATTACCTTTGCATTGTCTGGTACGTACACTTTATTCCTTGAGTAGGTTCCCTTTATTTATTTTATTAGTAGCAAACGTTACAGGTCGAGTTAGCGCAGGTACCCTGCCCCCTCCGCGGTAGTGCGTTGGCTACGCAATCAAGCTCACGACGTCTCTATCGGCCTTCGTGGTAGTCATGCACGGTGTCGAAAGCTTTCAATAGTTCATGCGACTATACTAGTGTGTAGAAAAGCTGACATTTCGGTCGATCAGGGGCGGGTTCGACGTTCTACGGGCAGAGATTAACAAGGCAGCGAGCTTCGACTTTTGGCACCCGGAATAATAAACAAACTCTTACCCGAACCAAATCACCGGTGCGAAGCGCGTTAAATTTACGAGTCAATTCTTTTCGCGGCGGATTCAAGTGACAGACGTGAATATGAAGTTTCTCCGTTGATTTGTCGAAAGCTAAGACTACATCGCTAGGACTACAGCGCCTTGGACGCCTCACCAAAGCCTTCTGTATACTCTATGGCCTCACCAGCGACAGGTGCCATCTTGTTTCGAAAGTCACTGACGTCACGTCAGCGTCTCGTTGTGATTGGTTGCCGCTTTGGGGTTCGTGAAAGCGGTTGGGAGAAATCGGTCCCGAAGCGGTTGGCAAAAACGCGCTCCAACCGCTCGATCCTAGCCGCTTTGCGGTTGAGAACGCGCGGATCCGCTTCGCGAACGCGGATCCGCTTCCAGTGTGAACGCGCCATTAGTCTCGACGGTGTGTCCACGCTTTCATAGATAACGGCAACCAGCATGTAAGCTAGGGGAGCGCATTTTGTGTAAAGAGCACGCTCTCTTCCAGTTTATACTGCTGCTACGCAAAATTTTAATTTGCAAACATCCACTGTCGAGCACAGAAGAAAAAAAAAAAGTGGCATTGCAGTTACGAATCTTAGGATGCGCGAAAAGCGCTTTCTAGTACTTCGTTTCACCATAAATAATAGCGCGAATAGAAGACATACAAACAAGGGCACAGATACTAAAGCGCAAGGTCACACGCGCACACTGCCTCAAACCTAACGATGAACCGCTGCTGTCCATCGGTAGGTGGAACGGCCTATAGGGGGTATTCGCGCGACGTCATTTTGTTGGGAGTTGTTCGCAGCGCATGCTCAGAACGATGCTCGAGAACAACTTTTTCTGGCAGAACAAAAAAAAGCGAACACCGCGCAATCACAGCGTTGATCGGTGCTCAAGGTCTACGTGCGCACGGGTATACCCACAGCTTTGACTTCGCTGCCTGCGAGGAAAGCACCAGGATGCCTGTTGAACGTCTATTCCACAAAATCATGATCGTTGTTCTTGAAAGACGATAAATAGGAGCTAGTTCTGAGCATGCACTGTGAACAACGCCCAACAATATGCCGAGTATTAGCTTGCGACCATAGCTGTGAGCTCGGCTGCTGAGCGCGTGCTGACGGCGGGCTCCCACAGTTTTTTTTGCTACGTGCATCCCGCACCATCAAGACTGCCGGTCTTAGCAGCCTCGTTCTGAACATGTGGTCTACATTTCGCCCTCGAATATGGCGTCCAGGGAATACCCTCTACAGACGTCTCGACCCATAATATAAAATAAAGTGCTCATGTTCTATTTGGAAAGGGGGTCCTATTTCGACAGATACTAAGCAAAAAAGCGCCCTGAGCTGATGTTACTGCTCAAGAAACGCGCATTTGGCGAGACGCTTTCCATGTAACGTTAATTAACACGCCATTCTTCAAGAATTCGACAAAATAGGTACTTACTCAGAATAAATGACTGCGAGAGATAAGAACTGCCGTGACTCTTCTTGAACACTGCCTTTTTCGTGTTCAAAACCGCCCGACCTTTCCTTTGGGTCACCTAGAAATGCCGTAAATGAGGAACAAAAATGCAGGTCGCTATTGAAAGAACCCCGTGTTTTTATACCAACAAAAGTTACCTTTTGTAGTGGCATCTTTGAATGCTCCACTGACGTGGCGA